TTTCTTTCTTTCTTTCTTTCTTTCTTTCTTTCTTTCTTTCTTTCTTTCTTTCTTTCTTCTTCCAGTTGATCTGATTATGGCCCATAAAGGCCATGGAGTCCATTGTGGAGTTATCATGTTTTTTGCCTGCATATAGCCATTCCATTGTATACCTCCCAGTGGACATACTTTCAATTTTTGGATGAAGTCTATTCTCCTTTATTTCTCACTTGCACTTGTTCTGTTTCCCTTAGGAAAAATAATTATTACATTGCAACATAGGCATGTCGGAACAAAGGTTCAGAGTTTCAATGAATGGTCCTCCTTTGCTTCTATGAACCTGAGACACAAAATTGCTGTGGACCCATAATGGACAAAGAACAACCAGTCCCCTTTGCTTTAATTATCGTAGCATCAGAACAACGATAGTACAGTAAGGCGGGGTGTGTGTGTGTGTGTGTCAGTCTATGTTGCTATCAAATGAGAGAATGTGGGAAGAGAATATGAAAGTACCCATGTGTGCAAAGAAAAGGCCCGGAGACTAGTGAGGAGGGAGCTATCCCCAAAAGGAAAAGGTACTCACTAGTAGACTGATCCGCCCAGGAGCCAGCTAGTGGGGCTTGCCTTCCCTGCAAAGGAAAGGGCAAAAGGCAGGGGAATGACCAATTCGGGTGTGTAGTGGCCATTATCTGGACTAAATACCAACCTGGCCCCATAGCTAAACCACTGCAATCTGGGCTTGAGTTTAAGTTGGCTTCAGGAACAGCCTGGACCAGCAAAGAAGACTAGCAGCTTAGGTTCAAGTGCACAAGAGCCCTTAGTCTGATAGACCAGGATTAAAAAGGCTGTGCCCACAGACCCAGGATTCAGACTGGAAGATAAAAAAAACAAAACCTTCAGCCACCCCAAATAAAATAATTTGCTGAACTCTTGTGAGATTGTAAAATCTAATTCTGAGGTAAGAAAGCTAAAGTTTCATAATAGTTTGGTACTCTCATATGAGAAGTCAGGACAATTTGGTGATCTCACCCAAGGTTTCACCGGGATGATCAGGGCTGGAAAATGCCCAGGCTTTTTTGTGAATGCCTTATTTAGCAATCTTAGAAACTAGTTACGAAACCTTTTATTCTGTGAGATGATAGATGGTAGGGCATGTACCTTGATGCATTTTTCAGACAGTCCATCAGCTGAATGCCCAAGCCAGTAACGCATATTGCTCATTATGTGTTATGGCTTAGAATAATGTGGAAAACTGGCTTGTGATTTTAAAAATGACATATGGTTTGGTTTTATGCGTAGGCCGGATAACAGTGACTCATTCATCAAACTAAGGGTAAAATAAGTCATGGCTTAAAGAAGTCGAGGGCAGGGCATTCCAGCCTCCAGATCCCACTGCTGAACTTTGATGGCAAAACTACTGATTTTCTGATGGCAACGTTTTTGTGGGCTTTTTGTTTGATAATAATCAGGCGCAACTATAAAAATTACCATCCTTATTTTGCACATGAAACCCACTACCCAAAAAAGGATCACCCCCACTTTTTTGTTCCTCCCTCTGTGGTGGTATCTCCCAAAACAGCCATCTTACCTTTGGGGACCTTAGATGCCGGAAAAACAAATGTGGATCCTGACTGACCATTAGTTGCCTTCCATTGACTTAATGTGCCATGAGAACTCAGGCAGGACATTTTCTGGCTTTCAGTGCTTTGTTAGACCCTGGCTTTTGACAATCACAGGCAAGCAGCAAAAATAATAGGTTGATGTATGTATGGCCAGATGAGTCATCATTCGCTGAATTCATTTTGTTTGACTTCAGTAACCTCCTCTGTTTATTTATTTTTGGGGGAGGGGGGGAAAGAGACAGACTTTTGAAAGTCCAGTTTTGTTATAGAAAGAATGTTGCTTTCAGTTTGCTGTATATTTTGGTTTGGGCTTTGTGTCCTGGACTTTTCCTGTCTTCATGCTTCTTCTTACTCCTGGATCACAGTGGATACTTCCCATTACCTCGCCCATCCTTCCTGCTTTCTGTTCACTGTCTTCTTGAGCTTCACCCTTTGCATTCCTCCTTCCTTTGCATCCTCAGGAAACTTCCTCATCTTTTGCTTTAAAAATAGCCATGGAGGCGGTGGTGTAGGGAGAACAGCATCCCACAGTTAGCAACCAGCATATCCAAATACTGCTATGGAATGATGCTGGTCACTTCGTAAGAAATGGGCGATGCTGGCTGAACCCATGTTCATGAAATGCTTTAGGATGGCAACAAGGAGCCAAGGGTAATCTGGAGGATAAATAAGGCAGTTTTCACTTTCAGAATTTGACTGCACTTAAAGGAGAAGCAAATATTTAAATACCATGAATTATTTTGTGATCAGTTAACTCTGTACCAGAGCAGCATAAGGGAGCAGATTTTGTCCTCTCTGCCCAAGTGAATTCTAGTGCAACATTCTGTCTTTTCTCCTAGAAATGAATTAATCTTTCATTTAAACTGGGGTAAGGAAAGAAAGGGATTCATGGTTACTCAAAGGAGCCATTGGTTTGGTTGGCATGTAGCATTAAGTCATAATGTGGTTGCTTACTTTTCACTTAGTATGAAGTTGAAACCAAACTTAGTTTAGCATTCTAGTTGCAGATTGAACCCATTGGCTTCTTTTTATTCCCTAGCAATTGGTAGATAGGAGGGTGTTGTCAACCTAGAGACGGCTTGGAGGCCTCATGATTAGTAGATGCTGGTGAGTTCTCCTACCATAAATTTGTCAAATCCCATAGCTAACAGTCTTCATCAGATCTTCTGGTAGCACATTCCATTAATGCATTATGTGGGGAAAACTTCCTTTTTCATGTCCTGAATCTCTTGACTCATCCAGAGTTGGTGGACATAAATCTTTCCTCTAATGAGATGGATTCAGTAACAGAAAGGGAATTCTAGACACTGTTTCTTGTTAGCCAGTGAAGGAGCAAAAAAGGGACATCCTGGTGACCAGCACTGGTCAAATAGATTTCTATCTGAAATTGTGACAATCAATTCAAAGTTCTGAATCTCAAAGGATGTCCATCTCTTCTCTCAGAATTAGTTCCTGTTAACTGCTACTCATTTATTTAACTTTTCCTCTGGCAGTTCCACCTCAGATTGGGGAGAATGCTCTTCTGTCGTCTGTGGATTCTTACAAATATGGCTCCACTCAAACTCTTACATGTACAGTATATGCTGTTCCAGCAGTGAGCCACATTCAGTGGTACTGGCAATTTGAGGAAGAATGCACTTTCAATCCACAGTAAGTAGAACACAATTTCCCAGTTATTTCTTTTTCCACATTTGATTTGGTACTAATATACTGTGTTGGTGATTTGTTTAGTTCTCTCTTCACAAATCAGTTTTTGCTGGGTTGGTTCCAGTATACCTAGGCTTAGTATTTGGGACTCCAAAAATCTAGATGACCACTAGGTGGCAGCAAAGAGACCCAGAAATGCTAGTTCTTCGCTGTCCTCTAGAGTTCATCTAGATTTTGCATTCAGATCTATTAGTGTACCAAAGAGACAATTGGATCTAAGTCTCTCCAGGTTCTCAAAGATCAGCTTAAAGTCTTCTCATTGTAATGCTGTAGAGGCATTACAATTCTCAGTAGCTGCCCTATAATGTGGATTTCCATTTTTTGCATCTGTCCAAATTCAACCTTGACCATTTTTTGAGGACAATGGAAATGTACTCCAGTCCTCAGATTTCACTATATATTATCCACTTAGATGCTCAGTTCAGAGGAAACCATAATTTTACACTAGCCAAATAAGCCATATCCAGTCTGGATTTTCTTCATACCTGAGATCAGAATCCATTTTTGGTTTGGGGCTAACCACAGAGTCCTCTATGGGTTGTTTAATTAGTTTTAGGATAAGTCAGGATCTAATATTAGGGTTTGATTGTGGCTTTTCCCCATAAACCACAGTTTAAGCTATCAAGATGAGCTAAAATTCAACTCCAGCAGCACTGCTGTCCAGTCATTATGGGAATTGTATACTATTTTTTATTTATGGCCCAAAGACCTGAATAACATTATAGGAGTTGAAGACTAACATATCGGGGGATGGGTAGCCTGAGGAAGGCTAGGTTCCACAAAAACACTATGAAGATTTATCATTTATTGAAAGCTTACAGAGTTGTTCTTATAGATCAGTATTTCTCAACTTTAGCAACTTTAAGATGTCTGGACTTGAACTCCAACTCCATGGCTGGCTGGGGAATTCTAGGAGTTGAAGTCCAGACATCTTAAAGTTGCCAAGGTTGAGAAACACTGGGATAGATGGAAGAAGAGCAAGGAATGCTTTCTTCACATATTTTTGATTCCCTTACACAATAAGAACCTGTGATTTCCATGTATTTCTGACCTGGATCTCACTTAAAATCTGTATGTCAGCTAGAAAGTTTCCTTAAACAAAACTGAGATCCTGAAGATCTGAATTCTCTATGGAGTAATCAGTTTCAAGTCTTGTATGTGAATCATCACAAAATGAACCTTTTGATGCAAAAGAAAGCTTTCAGAGAAGTTGAAATTCTCTTTCTGCAAAGGTGTCTGCAAAGACAGGCAAATGATGAAAGCAGCACCATGTGTACATCTATTGCATGTATGAAAGGGGCAGAGTTTGCATCATGTTCATGCAGTACTGCCTCTGTCACTTTGATGAGAGCCTTTGTTCCTGCAGATGCCTCTGTTCCTGCCCTTCTCAGTAATGGCTCTGCTCCTTTTTTGTTCACTCATTTAAACCATCCTGCAGGCAACCTGATCCCACCAAATCAATAATCACATTAGCAGTGTCACATAGCCAATTCATAAAGCTAATTCAGAGTGAAGGGAAAACATTCAGCCCTAATTCTGAATAGATAATTCCAAGCAATCTCTGAGCATGTTGGCAGTCTCTTAAAACGAGCCCCATCCACATGTATGTCATGGTCTGATACCCTTTGCTGCCTCCCCAAATGGTTAAGGTCATTCTTCAGCCATTGTGGGCTATAGGAAGAACGGGGGGTATATAAAAATACTTACTTCCACCCCTTCTTGGCTGGAACCACAACTTCCTTCCTTCTCATGACTTTGTGCCTATAAAGGCACTTGGGAATTGGATCCAGCAACAAAAGGTGTTACAAACATAGCAAAATGGCAGGTGACTTCTTCTTCTAGGGAAAAATACCTTGTAGTGGCAAAAGTTCTCTGTTAGTGATATCCATTAACCTGAGTTGTATCCAAAACTTGCTTCTCTGTTTCTGGTGATCGTGTGAATATTGTTGATAATGCGGTGTACTCTGGGTTGGGTGGTTGATTGAGATTAATATATATCCTGCTTTTCTATTCCATTCAGACATAGCCAAGATTGTTGGAAGGAAGGGAGGGAGGGGGGAGTGAAGTCTCTTTTGAATTGAGCTTGATTCCTGATGACTTTCTGGGTATGTCCGTGTAGTTTCCCTTGGGAATGATCCCCAAATGATTTTCCACTGCCTTCTTCAGGGATGTTTTGGATTTTCCAGTTGTCCCTACAGCCCTGGGATTTCTGGTGGTCCCCTAACCAGGCCAGTCTGACCCTGCTTAGCTTTTCCAGATCAGCTAGATGCCAAGACCTGGCTGGGCACAGGCAGAGCACAGAACTAGCGAAACAACTGAACGTTGTTGCACAGTGTGGGTTTATTTAGTATTCATGCTCATGCAGTCTCTTGCAAGCTACCATGAGATTTGCCAGGGCTAACGTGTCTAAGTCAATAAAGAAATAAGGAAAACCTTTTCTGCTTGATAGCTACTGTTTGCTTGTCTATAGCCAGTTAGGCAATGGTTTAAAGCTGCTCAGATTCCCTGAAAATCACTGGGCTTTTAGCAGTTTAATTGTGTGCCAGATTTTGGCTATGGGTGGCTGCTGGCTCTCAGCTTAGAATGTTTTTATTGTTGTTGATCCATATGACAGATCTGTGGTCTTCTCCCCCAATTTCCTACGCCACGGCAAACCAGGGCTTCATTTGGCTGTCTTATCTCTGTGAAAGGGCATGTCAGAGGAAGCCCCTTGATTGATGGTAGGGAATGATAGAATGAGCTCTGACCGAGGACCACTTCACTTCCCTTATCTGAATTTTGCACGAGAACAGACTTCCTTTAGAATGAAAAAAAAAAAGAAAAGAAAAGAAAAAGGAGCCTGTTTTCCTGTTGTTGTTTTTAAAACAACTTCCACTGTCTTCTTCCTTTGGTGCCTAACCATTTCCTATGCAAAGTTCAGTAGTCCAGAGAAATATATTAGGGAGTCCAGTGGTTTCCATGTTAATCTTTGCCTTTCTTCGAACAAAATGAACTCTGATTGTTAGTTTTATGAATGGAGATTTATTCCTAGAACACTGTTTCTTACCTTTGGTATCTAATTGGGCTGAGCTGGCCAGAATAAAGAAAGGATTTACCTTGAGGGCCTGAGAATATCTCTTTGCACATAGTAGTAAGGACTTTTAGGCATCATCTGAGAGTTTATGGGTTACCCTAAAATAGGAGCTGCAGAAAAATATTGCAGTGCGAAAAGAATTTTCCTGTTCATTGTTACACCCCACCAGTTGAGGATGCTGTCCAGTAATGTCCTGGATACTCGTCTCTCTAATTGTTAAGGCTCTTCTGAAATAGGCCCATTGCTGAGAATTCTTGGAGTGAATGTTGCGCAGCTGGAGGGCACAGAAGTTGAGAAAGATTGTTCTACAGAATCAGATATCCTCATTCAGTCACTATGTTCATCAAGCACATATAGGCAACTTCTACCCCATTAACTCCATCTTCAAACTGTAGAGCTCCTGTGGAGCTCAGCTGATCAGTTAGTTGCTGGATATTGGAGGTAAGATCTTAATTAGACTCACTGGGGTTAGATGGTTTAATTTCCCTATTCCAAGTGATTCCCACAAAGCTGAGATCACTGGTGCATGGTCTTTAACCTCACTTCGCTGATAATCCTAGCATATTGGAGATGCTATTCTCCACAATGAACACTGCAGGTAAAATTGTAGTTTGCCACCTACTATTAACAATTGTGAAACAGTAATTTTGTTAGCAAAGCATACAAGTGAAAGATGAAATTTCTTTTATTTTTCTCAGCCAAGCTAGAATGGGGAATAATCCCTATGCATGTAAGAAATGGAAAACCATAACAGACCGAAGAGGTGGAAATCAGATTGAAATCCTAAAAGATCAGTTTGTTGCTATTGCTGGGAAAATGAAGGTGAGACATTGATTTTGCTATTTGCTGTTGGAAAGTTTGGTGGTAGAATCTAAGTTGTTGGCTTATTTATAAGACATAATCATGAGCCTACGATCCTAAATAATATATTGCAATTCTCACTGTGCATAAATAAAATTGCTACATAAATGAAGAACTGTATGCATAAAACAGAAAGTCACATAGTCCAGTGACAGAAAACTGGGGAATGATTATAAATTTATAAATTATAAATACCAGCTGGTCTCAGGTATCTCTTAGCCCAGTAACTTAGTTGTAAAATGGATGTGATAGCATTATACATCAAGCAAAACAAACTTGGCAGATATCTTTGTGGGGTTTTTTTGTTACCATTATTAATCATCCCTAACATTAGTTATCATAAATGCATTCACTGAAATGCATAATTTAAAAGGGTTTACAAAGGGCAAAATCTAAAAGATTTTGAACCTTAGGAGTTAGGTTTGGTTAGAAATGGCATTTTAAGTGTTCTTGGAGGTTTTTAATATGAGAAGCAATGTAGAAATGATGATGATGATGACAACAGTCCTGTAAGGGCTTACTTGGAGTTAAGCCCCATGAGATAATGGCTTTTTTCTAGTAAGTACTGTTTGCGGTTTGGTTTATAGCTTCAGGCTGAAATCTTAAGCAACATTATTTAGTATTTATTTCCTCTATTTATATTATAGTTCTTAGGTCAAAGTATCACTTCTTAGCAGGAAAATCATTCTGAACTCAATGGGTCTAAGTTTTACATAAATCAGGGTTAAGCCTGATCAGAGGGATGTAGAAAAATTCCTGGAGAAAGTGTTGGTTTTTCAGCTTTACTCCATCTCTGGATTTTTATGGACAAACAATAAGCTCTCTATTGACTATTGTTGCCAGAGAGTTGAGCAATGATGAACAGTTTTACTTCTATTCACCACAGAGGGAAGCCAAATGGTCATGTAAGTTTCAGATGCAAATAGGATACTTCAAACAAGGGTGGGTTGTGTTGCAGTAGAATTCATAGCTTAGATAAACTAACATGGCCACATGTTCCATTGACTCATTTTGCAAGAGACCAGTTCAAGCTTTTAGCATTAGCCTGGCCTTAAACCACTTCACTTTTTTTCTTGTAGACCGTTAGCAGTCTCACCATTCAAGCAGCAAATGTGTCCACCTTGTACAGATGTGTAGCAAATAATAAAGCCGGAGTGGGTGAAAGAATAATTTCCTTTCATGTGACTAGTAAGTCTTGTTTGCATATGCATTTCCACTGAACACATCTACCTCTGTTTCTCTAACCATGTCAAGTGCCTTCTTGTTCTGTATTTGTGCATAGAAATACTTCCCAAATGAATGTAAAAGATCAGGGCATCCTCAAGGGAGGGCAAGAGGGGGCATGATGTCATCATAGAAATGACACAAATGATTATTTGTGCAATGAAATCATGATGTCATCACACAAATAACCATTTGTGTCATTTGTATGATGACATCATGCCCTCTCTTGTCCTCCCCTGAGGACACTCATGGTTTCAGGCAGATGCCTTTGGTAATAAGACTAGCATATTCCTATGGCAAGTTCAGAGTAGATTAGTTTTGTGTAATGGTTGTGAAAGAGAAAATTGTTATTACTTTTTAGGAGTAAGTTTTAAACAGAGTTTGAATGCTGGGTAATCTCCCTGTTTGTGGAAAAAAACCCTGTTGGTTAATGTGTAGATTTATTGTATATTTATTGAAGCTCCAAAATGACCTACAGGGGTCATTCATTCACCCATTTCAGGGTCTGAAAAGCATTGATTGCAGACATCAGAGCCCTCCCATAATTTAAAACCCTGCTGTAATTTTCAAGGTTACAAAAGAGGAAAATTATTAAAATTTAAAATGATTAAATACTGAGGAACTCGTTGACCTCTGAGGTACTTTCCAGCTCTATGCTTTTATGATTCTATGATAATCGTGCTAGCTGAATTAAATTATATTAACATGTGCATTGAATTGAATCAAATTTAATTCTGGTCCTGGCTGTGCCCACTTTGTTGCCTAACCAGTAGTGATGGATGTTGGAGTCTGAATCAATGACATCTGAAAAGACATAGGGCCTAATCTGTAGCACAGGATGAGCAAGTTTCTTGGGACCAAGGAACACCCAGTCTCTTTTGGTAGGTTCAAAATGGGAAAAATCTTCCAGATTTGGTGGAGGATGCTTCAGGACTTGAAATGGATGCCTTAAGGCTCTGTGAGGCTTATTGCACCCATCCTTAAAACTTTCCTCAAAATGAGCAGAAGATAGAATTCCATCCACTGGTTGAAAGAATGCTCTATGGAGTCTATGCCCATCCTTGAAATAATAAGTGGAACTAGAGTCCACTCATTTTCTCAGTGATAACAGTTCCAGGGGAGTCAGAAAAAGTCAAGATGGCAGTCACAAATGTTTGATCAAAGCCTTCTCCCTTTTTCATACATGTAAAAAAGGGCAAGGCTTTGACTGAGTGATTGTGGATGCTGTCCTGATGGATGCCCCTGAAGAGGTCTCGGAATATTTCAATAAGAGGCCCACCAAGCATTATTCTCTCTCAGAGCATGATAGGCAATGGTTCTCTGATCATTTCTTTTTGATCCCTTCTGATCCTTTTCCTTTTATTCCCAGGAGGCCTTGAGATCAGTCTTCAGCCTCAAGGCCAGCCTACCAAGAAGCACAACGTAACTTTGCACTGCACCGCAGACAAGCACACGTTTGAAAACCTCTCCTGGTTTAAGTTCAGCCCTCGTGTTTTGGGGACTCGCCTGGATAGGCTGCCTATGCCTGTTTGCAAGAATTTGGAGGCCCTCCAGAAGCTGAATGGCACCACCACAAAGGCCATTGGGGGGAACATTACCTTGAGTCTCTTTCTCCACAATATTACCCTCCAAGATAGTGGGGAGTATGTGTGCATCGCTCTGGATAAAAAGAGCAAAACTCGACACTGCCTTGTCAAACATCTTGCTATTCAAGGTAATCCCTATGCTGTGTGACAATAAGAGGGAATATTGCCTAATTTTATTCAGTTATTTGTCACCCCAACTGAATCAACCCAAAAATCAGGCAAAAAATGTCAGTGGTTCACCCATGTTTCTATATATGCTCTCAGCTTTAACTGTAGCATCCACCTAAACTCTCTACATCAAGGATAGCTAATCTTTTTGGTAGGCAAGGACTGTATATGGTGGCCTCTGCCAAGCTCGGAAATCACACCATAGTCTTCATGCATTTCCCAATCTCCACATAACAGGAAATTGTGCGGTCAGTCTTCTGCAATCACTGTCTAAGTAGGCAATCCTAGAGCAATTTAACATTTAAGCAGTAATCATTATGCAAAGCAAGAAAATACAGAGCAAAATGTAGGATACAAAAATGAATATATTTAATATGTTCCCAAAGTGTGTGTTTTCTTGCAGTTTTATTCACTGTGTAAAACATTGGTCAGGGTTGTACAGCTTTTTCTGGGCCAAAGACTGCATTGGGATTTGAATGATGTGCAAGAGACCACACTCCAAAAGTAGTGGGTTGAGCTAGTGCAAAAACTGGATTTGATTTCATTTACATTTAAAGTTAATGAAAATCAAGTTGAGTTATTAAGCCTAAGTTCCAGATTAGTTCCTTGTTCTTTTACATTAACAGTGACATTTGATCACATCTGGAAGTATTTAGGGGCTGTATTCAAGGCTCCCAGGGGTCACATGGGAGGTTTAGATTGTGCACCTCTGATGTGTCATGTATGGGGGAAAATGATCAATATAAATCCTGCTCTTTCACATCCAAGTAATCTTTACATTAGAAAAATAGGTGCAGTAATGTTGAAGGGTCTATAAATGAGAAATCTAATGGATATAAATAAATTCTGTGTACTTGTGTTGGAACATTTTGTGTTCATTCTACAAGTTTAGGAAAGAGCTTCTAGCAAGGCTACTAACCATTGTGTTCCTTCCATTTATTGTAATGAAGCATCAGTTGCTTTCAGGTTTGCCTTTCTAGAGGGGCATTTTTCAGATCTTGCTCCTAACATTTTTATTTCTTGCAAACAGAACCAGTGGCACCCACAATTACAGGACACCCTCAGAATCAGACAACAAACATTGGTGAAACCATAGAAGTAGTTTGCACAGCAAGTGGGATTCCTCCTCCACACATCACTTGGTTTAAAAACAATAACTCTCTGATTGAAGATTCAGGTGAGACCCAAGGTTCTCCCCTACAGTTGCTTAGGTTAAATAATTCCCCACTGATGTTGTAATGCTCAACGTATTCCTCATCCAAGAAACACATTTTCTACCATGTCTCCTGAATGCTCGTATCTGTCCTTACTGAACATTCAGGAAGCAAAACTGGGATCCCATTGGGGCAATAGGCTTTGCCCCTACATTAATTTCTTGCCCAATTCTAATCCCAATGAAATCATTGATTTTATTCACAAGAGGCATGATACAATTCCTGTATCATGTTGAAGGTTACAGCATGTAAACCATTGCCAATGGTGATTTAGTTTTTGTGACTAAGCAAATCATAGCATAATATAGCATCTGACGAAGATATAACTCCATCAGGAAAAAATAGATGTCCAAATTCCACCCAGCTATTGGTTAATTTTACTTACAAATATCAGATTGCTACTGAAATCATCCACTTTGGTTGGAAGCTCCTACTAGTGCTAGAACTGTGTTGAGCTGGTTTCACTCATATCTTATCTCCATTATCATGGTTGTATATGTTTCAGGACTGAACCTCATCACAAAAAACAAGTCCAGAGATCTAATCTAGATAACTTCAGTTTCAGATAAATGCTATATCCAGCTCTGTAGGTCAGCTGTTCGAAAAGAAAATGTAAAGTGGAGTTTTAGAATGCTCCAGTTTGGTTTTTCTTCATGTTGGATGAGAAGAAAGTCTAAAACTAAAAATGCATATACGTCAATATCTTTATTTTAACCCTAAAGTCAACCAAATCATAGCAAAAGGAGTTATTTGTACTTCTTGTACCCTCTACAAGGTATTGTCCTGAAAGATGGGCACCAACGGCTCACCATACGAAGGGTGAGAAAGGAAGATGAAGGTCTCTACATGTGCTGTGCCTGCAATGTCCTAGGTTGTACAAAAGCAGCTGCATTTTTTGAAGTGGAAGGTTGGTGGCAATATGCATTTCCAGGGTGATTTTTGAAAGTCTTACTTTCTGTGTCATTCCTCCTTAGAATTGTGTTTCAAGCTCTGTTGATGCAAGTCTGGATGATAGGAGATTAATTGATATTTAAATGAAAATGGAGCTAAAGAGAAGCAAGCTTGCCAAATCTGGGGCCAGACAGGAAGTCCAGAAGCTGGATGGCAGCCATGGGAGAAATGCCAAAATCTAAGTGGAAGAGGAAAGCTTGGAATTTAGGAGGGATGCAGATTATACTACATTTAGATAATTTCTAAGTGGCTCTCTTAATTTGGGCCAAGTGTGCCGATTACTTAAATAATGTCAAAGGTCTCACTCTCTATCACATTATATTGAATAAGGCTATGTAGTACTTTGGATTCTATTCAAAAAAGATGTTTTGGCGCACATGACAATGTAAACATAATACATGTCCTCAGCTTTTTAAAGCAGCTGCATCTTTCTTGAGATTCCACAAGATTCTGCAGCTGACACATGATCTTAGGAAAAGATACAGCTGCTTGAAAGGGTTGCAGATGAGTGAAATGTTCATGCTTCTGCATGCTCCAAAGAACATTTCTGATACTGAATCCAAAGCATTGCACAGCCCTGTGATTTAATGTTAATATGTGAAATATTAATATACTAGCTTTCTATACAGCTTTTCGAAAGGACTGCTTCAGTGTCATGATTGAGGGTTTTTTGTTGTTGTTTTTTTAAACCAAGCATGTTAGAGTTATATCCTGTTATTCTTACAGTCTCTAGCATGCAGTTGATGTGTTGTGCTAGGCAACCTATCACTCTTGGATGAAAAATGCCTGTAAATAATTCTTTGTCCAAATATGTAACATCAGTTATTTAACAAATAAGATTTGTTTCCCTAGAATCTAGCATGTTTTCTTTATTTCTTTCTTTTTTAAAGTGGAAACAACTGAAAGCTTTACTACATATATATTGAACAGTGAACTTAGTATTATAAATGATTGTTCACTCTGGAAAATTTAATAATAATTTTATCATTAAAATGTAATCTGCATGTGGCAGGGGCAAACACATGGAAAACTTTCTTCCAATAATTCAGAGTCCTTGTAAGCCTAACCCTAACCCTTAGCATTGTCTATAGTACCCTGGTGCTATCAAGAGCAAAATGCCCAAGCACAAGTCAGAAAGGAGGGTTCTTAATGCAGCAGTGATGCTTTACTCATTTGGAAATGAGTAATCTCATACTTGTTGATATTTATAAAGGCGACCTACTCTCTACATAGCCATTTAGATTAGGACCACTTCTCTAAATAGCATCAACTCTTAAGTCCAGAGGCTAACATCACCTGGTTGTACCAATGACAATGGACATCAAGCATAGGAAATCTGTCCTGAAGGGCCAGATTAGGTGATGGGTCAGCAGGGCAACATTTCTTCCCTTCCTAGTGGGTCATTGGGGTGAGATTTGCAGCTGACTTTGCATGGCTTGTTGAGACCCATACCTTAAAAGGAGGTGAAGCCAGGACCCATTTTAGGTGATATGGGTGAATTTTAAGG